AAAAAAAATAAACAAATAAAAGAGGATGGGGAGAGAAAAGAAAAATGTGTAGAAAGGGATGAAAGAATCACCGTCCCTGTTTCCTATTTTTATTCTGATTTGTATTTATTTTTATCTATGAGCTGGAAATTTCCCCAGATTGGATTTCAGAAATTTTGTCACATTACTCTGATGTCTTTCTTTTGTGGATAACCCAGCCTACAAACCAATAAAAAAAACAACTGGAGCAGATTTTCCCCCACTAACTTTTACAGTAGTTTACATTCACTGAAATCAAATCAACCCAAGGATTAAAACTCATCCAATCCACACCACCAAACCCGTTTCTGTTTGCCTGCCCTGTTTACACTACGGCTGGTTGCTGGAACTGTCAGCTCACCTGTATCTACATGATGCTGGTTGCTCTGCATGGAGTTTACCTGTGAAGCTGACAGACAGACACCGATTACACATCCGCACATTTTCTTCTAATGAAGTTCTTCATGTATGGTTTAAATTGCTTCCTGCTCTCAGTATCACAGCTTTAAAATATTTAAATCTAAATCTTCTTAAAATAAGTGTATTGTTTCTTAAATTGAGGATGGAAGTAAGAAAAAAAATAGCATTGTCTTATTTCAAATACATATCTAATTATCTTGTTTTAAGAGTAAAATTAGAAATCCATTGACAAATCATCTTATTAATCTGCTAAAATTAAGGGTAAATACACTTAATTTAAGACATGTTTACGTATTTCTAGATGGTTTTTGCAGTGTGGAATATCTCTGTTCAATGATGCTCTGAGATGATTTATCTGATTCATCTTTGCTGCAGCTTCAGCTCTGAGCTAAAATTGGTTATTTCTGGTGTTTATGAACAGACTGGACTCACAGCTGATCTCTGAGTAAACCGGCTGAAGTTCTGCTCCATCAGCTGGAGGATCTGAGAGACGCCGCTGCCGATGGTTTCCTTCACAGACCCACAGAGACATCAGCGATCAGATCAGAGGTCAGTCGGTAAACTTAGGAAGCAGAATTTGGATCAAGCTTCAGGATTTATTGGACGGCAGGATCTGAACTCACTGAGGCAGATGATGAGGATGCAGATGAAGACTGGACACAGCAACATCAGTGCAATGGCACTAACCACGATCACAAACATGGTCAGAGTATTACTGTCTGGGAAGCTCCTCTCTGCATGATCCTCGCTGTTCTCCGCCCTGCAGGTGACCACCTCCTCCCCCTGCTGCAGGTATGGGATGCAGGCCTTTAAGCTCCACTCTCCAGACTTAAAGCTGTGGCCCTGGTTCTCTAAAAGACGCTTCGAGGCCGACAGCCAGACGACTTTAGGCACCGGATGGCCTTCAACTTCACATATCAGCCATCGGGAGGCGCTGCTGGAATGACCGCAGGTTGAATTCACCACTGAGAGACTCAAGATGTGAGGCGGAGCTGGAAAACAGTGAAAGAAATCATAGAAATGTGTCGTCAGAGATCTGCTGCTTCAGGAGGAAAACAGATCAACTTTGAACCAGATGGGGTCTTGTTACAGCATCCAGGATTTAAAGAGAATATGTCTGTTTAAGAAGAAATGAAGAAGAGGTTCATCTATGATGATCATCAAAACCACAAGAGGAGGCCTGAGGACCACACCTGCTCCACAGCCTGAACTCGCCTCCAAAAGAGGTTTTGCAGCCCTTCCCATCTGGACGGGACAAAAACACCTCAGATGATTAAAGTTTACTAGGACTTTTCGGCCTAAAGGTCTGATTATCTTCCCCCAGCAGTGTGTTGCAGATATTTTTGATTTATGCTCAATATTGAAGCGTGTTCTGCGCTATATTATTCCATGCCACAACGCCAGAGGGCCAATCAGGAACTAGCTGTGGGTCTAGATACGGCCGAGGCGGTGAGGAAGCAGGGGCAAATTTGTGCAACAACGGAGGGACATGAGGGCCAAAAAGAGCGGGGATCCAGGTGGAAAAAGGGTCCCAGCGTTCTCTCGCACCTCGCTCTGCTAGCTGCTCCATCTTCAGTCATTTTGATACAAACAAAACAGGCTGGTAAGGTACCAAACAGGAAATATTCTTAGTGTACACTGTCTGCAGCACCGTCTACGGCAGGGGTCACCAACATGGTGCCCGCGGGCACCAAGGGGCCCTCAAGGACCACAAGGGGTGCCCTTAGAGTCTTCTGAAAATAGAACAACACAGCTACGTTTGAAATTTCATTGTATTCTGTCACTCTTCTTTTTTTAATTTGGTTATAGGACATTTCATCATTTAATCATATATGGCATTTAAGCATTTATAGCGATTTCAAAATGAAAATGTCTAAAAGAAAATTATAAATTTAAAGAAACGATAAAGATATCTATATAATATATGAAGTTTAGGTGAACATTGACCCTTGGCATTCATAGGTCTGTATTGGTAGCCCTTCCTGTGACTCAGTGCCCCTGAATTAGCCCTCAGCTGTAAAAAGGTTGGTGACCGCTGGTCTACGGTCACCTACAATTTTGGTGCTCTAAAAATGAATTGAATTGAACTACAGTGTCTACAGCCCTACGTAGTAGTGACCTTAAATGCCTTTAAAGCAACAATGTGCAACGTTTGGCCTCTAAGGCAAAGGCCTCATTATAACGTCCAGGTTTAACTGCACTGTTGTAAAACGAACCAAACTCACTCAAAAACCAGAAGACAAGAAAACATTCAACCCTCCAAATCCTACATCAGAGAATCAGAGAATATGTCTGATCCCAACTGTTTTGTTGCCTAACAACAACTTTTAGCTTTGTTAACTCCAACAAGAAGGTTAAGTTTTTATCAGCGTTGGTTTCCTGAGTCCGTTTTCATAATAAAAAAGTTACAGGTGGATTTTGCTGGATTTTTAGAGAAGGTTCGTAGTATGACTGACAGTGAATAATTAAATATTGGTGATGATCTGGATAACCATGTCATGATCTGGCCTGTTTGCTCCTTAATTAGTCATTCCTTTCACCTGTCGTTTTCCC